AATGTTTCAAGTTAAATGAAATTTGGGGAAGACAGAAATCAAGTAGATTTAACAAATTAGAGGATTTTATACTACAATGTGCAAGTGCCAAATTTTCAGAAATTAAGATAAAGCCGTAAGGTTGTGAGTACTGTTTCAATTACAAAATTGAACGAATAAAATAATGATTAATTTTTCAATTATTTCGTATCAATAATTGCTCAAAATACTCGTTTCTACATTTTGCTTACACACATATTTATAGAGAATTTTTTTGAATAACAATTGCATGTTAGTTGAGTACAACAAATCTTCTCCTGAAAGTTGAAGCCTTGGGGTTCCTGACCTTCCAATTATCTCATTCCCTTTTGTGATATAATTTAGCTGCCACAAGAACTTTTCTCTGAGAGAATACAATAACTCAGGAAACATTGGAATAAGTGTATAAGTGTAGCAAGTATTTATGTAGAAAAATTTAATTTTCCAATATTCTACATGTTTTTTTATCACGGTTAGGTTAATTGCATAAAAAATTGCCCTCGTATATTGAAAGATACAGCTAACCATACTACCACGCCGATACTTTCACCAGTAATTGACAAATTGAAATGGTAAACGACATAAAAATGTCAGAAGTGAAGATTTGCAGTATAATTCTGGCACTTACCTCGCCTATCACTTGAACGCTGTAGATTCTCACCTTTCACCACCTTGATGGATTCGAAAAATGTGCAATAGCCTACTATTTTTGTCAATCACATAATTTACCATTTCGTCTCCTCACCTGTCCCAATCAATAGCAGAAGAACCCGCAAAAATATCCAATGCAAAATTCCTCTTGCCATTCCATTCATCGAATTTCCTCAACCGTCACATTCTACAACCAAAGATCCACCTTCCCCATTCTCCATCCTCCTCTATCAACTCTATTCGTGCTCGCGCGCATTCATCGGTAGCATCGGCCACATTCTAAGCATTCTGCAGGATCTCCCGTGGTCGTTTCGCTCGAACGAAGAAAGAAATTCGAAACACCCGTTCGCTCCTCCTTAGAGGCCCCAAGGACTCTAAGCGCGACCTCGATTCACTCCTCGATCTCGATCTCTTCGGCTGGTTCGCGGAATGCACGAAGAGCGTGGACGAGGATGAGAAGACCGGTCTGCTGGGTTTGCGTGCAGCGGTCGCGTTAGAGCGCTGAATATTTCATTCATAAGCGAGCGGATCAGCGTATTCCGTGCGCGCGCGAGCGAGCGTGCACGCCGCGCGGCGATCGTAGTACGGTGTGAGTGGCCGCGAAGCGTGCAATGGCAGCGGGGGTAAATCGCGCCCGGCCGCAATTACGATCGCGGCCCCCGTGAATGAAACGTCCGCCCTTTTTTCTTCTTTTCCTCCGTTTTTTTCCCCCCTGCTTTTGCCTTCCTCTTCTTCCGCCTCCTTCGTACCGTTCCGCCTCCTCTCCGTCCAGCCGCGCAGCGCGCGCGCGATTCTATCCGTGGCTCGACTGGCTTTTTTGCGGAACGGAGGTTTAATGAGCGAACGCCGCGGCGTTCCACACCGCTGAGGCCGCGGCTTGGTTGCGCCTCGGCGAGATTCCGCGGTGGAACGCACGACCTTCGAGCACATTTCCAAGGGGTCGAGGGTCGCGGCACGCGTTTCAGGAACACGCGTGGGTCGGTGATTCAGAGACGTTCGGTGCACGCGCGTGGGCGTCATTGTTCGTGCAACGTGAATGAGCACAGTGAGCTGGACAGGTTTAATTGGTGGAACGAAAGCGTGTTTGTTTGTTCCTGCTTTGTGTCGAGCTGGTTCGAGGAGGTGGAAAACCGGGGGAAAGTTGGCGTTGAGTCGAAAATTGTGGTGAAAATTGGGTGCTGACAGGACGACGAGAGGATTGAACGGGTTGTCTGATTTATAATTTTGTTAGAATAGGTGAGAATGTGGAATATGGAGAGGCTTAGTGCGAAGCAAAAATATGAAGGTAATATTGGGTACGTGGAACTAATTGTGGTAGAAATTAGGTATAGATGAAGTGTTGAGAAAATTGAAGGATTGCGTGGTTTTAAATTTTCTAAGGAAACTTGAGAAATTCGAAATGGGGTGAATTAGTGCCAAGTGAAAATATGAAGAGGAATAGGGCGATGAAAGGGTTGAAGTGTTGAAATGAGAAAAAAATTTCTAGAGAAAATTGGTACAGATAAAGCAACGAGAAGGTTGAAGGATTGCTTCGCTTGAATTCTCTAAGATCAGAAATAACGAAGAAACTTTAAAAAAAAATTGGACATAGATGGAGCAAAGAAAGGGTTAAAGGGGTGCCTAGTTTCAAATTCTCCAAACAGGTTCAAATGAGTGAAAAATGAGCAAAACATTCTAGAGAAAATTAGGTACAGACAAAGTGATGAAGAAGTTGAAGGATTGCATGGTTCTAAATTCTCCAAGGAAACTTGAGAAATTTGAAATGGAGGGAATTAGTGCCAAGCGAAAATATGAAGAGAAACAGGACGATGAAAGGGTTGAAGGGTTAG